AAGAGTGTTGAAAGAGAATAACCAGTGAGCAGAGGTTTTGGCAAATGACTGTGGCAAATCTAGAAACAGTTGGTTAAAGAGTTATCCTAGCTATTGGTAGTCCTCTCGTTGAAGACCACTGCCCACATAGCAGAGTTGGCAGGAGAAAGCTGATTTGTGCACACTGGTCACTTCAGTGCAGACTTTGGCTTCTTGGTGTAAACGGAAGGTGGAGGAAGCTGCTGAAGAGCTAGAGTATGTGGTGAGGCAGCTAAGAGCTGGACGTGCTTCTGATCTCATCACATGGCTGCAGGGGCAGTGAGCTACAGCAAGGGGATGGCAACACGAAGTCAAGGGCGGTGCCTTCAGCTACTGCAACCATTAGCTGAGTGAATGAATCAAAACACTTACTAGCAGAAAAACGTCTTTTGACCAGCTTGCTCTGTTAACTACGGGGTCCTGAGTTTTGATGTTTGCATTTGTGCAGTGTTAATCCTTTGATTTTCCCCCCTCTATTGGTTTACTTTTCGTATCTTAGTAAAAGATAAATGATAATGCCTAACAGTATAAAGTATAATATTTCATAGGAATAGAGAAGTATCTACTGCCTTAGGGAACCCTATTCCGCTTGTGTAAGCACATGATCTGTGAGCTGTGGAACTAGATACATATAAAAGACATTCTCATTTTGTTTACAGAAAATATCTGCTTGCCTAAATATAAGTATAGTCTTCTCAAGAAAACATAACAGTTTTAACATAATTTCTTAGTGCACATAGGAAGTAAAATTTGCTACTGTAGGGAAGTAAGTATAGCATATTATTGAAAATTAGTATAAAGTGCAATATAGCTTCCAAAGACCAACCCATCTGTTCCATAGTCCATAATACAGGTTGTGAGAAAAAAGTGAAAACTGAAGAGCAGAGCCAGAGTACTATTTTTCCTCCTCTTAGCTAAGAAAAACAGCTAGGGAAACACTAGAAACTTTGGTCTACCTCAAATAAAAATCCCTATGCTCTGAATAAAATAGAGGTTGAGCAGTTGATTCACACAGTTTAAACCAAGTCTGCTGGATTAAAGAAAACAATTGCATGCAACAGGAACCACATACTACTTTAGGGCTCAAAAATTAACTTCGTAATCGAAACAGGCTCTTTGTTTTCTGACTTTCAGAAAGGACTGTTTCTAAAAATGTAAATCTATTACATCTTCGCATTTTCAAATAATAAGAAACATGTTTCTAAGGGATCATATGTTTGCATCATTCTACTTGGTAGGGATATTTGCTAAAACTAAAATAATAAATTGCTTGACTTGGGAGCACTGATATGCTAATTAGTTAACTAACTGTTGATTTACTAGCTAATTAGTGCTAACAATAGTTTGATGTGCTAATTTGATTTAGGCAAGTTGCCTTTGAGAATGTTATAGGGCAAAAGTATATTATTTGTCAGATTTGGGAGGGCAGGACAGAGACTGATTCAAAGCCTGTTTAACTCAATGGAGTCCATCCACTGCATCAAGTATTCGGGCAAATACTACAAGAGTGCAGAAATTGTTTGATGCATTATTGTTGTTGATCTAAATAATGAAATCATCTGATTGAAAGGCTGAAATAATGGAAAAGATGGATGCTCTAGTACAATTTCCTTTCATCTGTTCTTCTCTCCTTACCCTTCAGCATGTTCTTTACAGGATAATCCTTTTCAATGTTTTCATCCACAGCATTCTGTCCTGAACCCCCATCACACTTTCTCTGTTACTTGATCTATGGGGTTAATAGCATCTGCAAATATTAATTTAGCTACTGTCTGTAATCCAGAGTCACCAACTACAGATGGTAATACCTAGCTCTATCTCTAACTTGTGTTTTTCTGGACTTAGTGCAATTTCAGTACTCTTAATATGGAGCTTTACTACATTTTGCGTACACCTCTACCTCTCTCTGATCATTCTGTGGCAGACGTCCTCTCTGTTTGCACATCCCTTTCATTTTTCACATTCAGGCTTCTCCTGTCTCTAACAGATTCTTTCTGTCTAGAATTGGAGATAGATAGTCATTTGTATACATCTATACATAAAGCTCAGGTCACATCAAGTTTTATTATGCGACTTTTTTACATTTTGGCTAGATAAATAGTCTTGTCTTGTTCACAACTGTCTGAAATGCCATAAAAATAACATTCCAACTTTGCTCTTTTTTTGCACAAATCTGGTTTTTCTTCTCCCAGCTCACTCCTCCAGCTTGGGTCATATTAAATATGAGCTTGTCTTGTCTCTGAAGATCTTTTAGAGACTGTCTTTTCTCATTCTGTGAGAGTCTACTTGTTACATTTTCAAATAAATACCTCTATAATTTTCCTATGTTACAGTTCACGCTTGGAAGACTCTTTGAAAATATCTGTAAAGCAGATTATTATTATTATTATTCATTTTAAGTTCCTTCTTAAAATCTTGCTTTGCCTGTTAAAAAAATTATACAACAATTAAGCTGCCAGTATATGTAGACTACTGCCTTCTGTATGGATGAATATCATCACATTATCCCTTTCTATGCCCACTCTGCCTTGTAATTAGATAGGGCATTCTGTGGGGTAATGCACCCTTTCTGGTTCTGTTAACACACTACGTAAATGCTTGAGTCTTGTTTCAAAGTCAGGAATTCAGCAGTCTACCAGTTACATATAACTGGTACATTTTTATAGTGTACAACTGATGTTATTAAAAAAGCTCAAATGACAATAATTATAGTTAGAAAAATAGGCCCAATCAGGAAATACAATGGCACACTAACAGTGCTTGCAATTAATGTACAGAACCTGATACAATCAAAGAAAGCCCAGGATATTTATCTTTTATATTCTGTGTTTGAAAATTAGTATCTTGTATAAGGCAAAGTTGGAAGTAAAGGCTTGTGTTTCTAGTGGCACAAACCAGATGTTTCCTGTCTGGAGGGTTCCCAAGAAACTAGATCTTAAAAATGTTATTAGACCAGGGCTGAAATTTGTCAGGCCGACAATAGGCTGTTTATAATTTTGAAGAAAATGTAGTGTTTCTTCAAGAATAAGAAAGTCATATATTATTATATTTTTGAAGGATTTGTTGCATTTAAATATCATGCTGACCAGAGGTTGCTTAAGGGTTTGAAACCTAATTGTAAAGAAACTGATGGTAGAAATAGCTGAATTGCTGACTGAGGTGGATGACTTCTCACCTGAAACATCCTCAGTATCAGCAAAATGGGAAACACAATGCTGCGTTTTAAAAAGGTGGGTGGAACTTCTGACCAGTAAGCCTGGTGACTATTGTAAGGAAACTGATGGGATACCGTCTGAAGAAGAGAATTGGCTGAGGTGTGAATAATCATGACACAGTGGTAAAGAGTCACCATGCATGGGGAAGCCATGTGTCATGAATACATTGGAGCTCTTTAAAGAAATTAACAAGCAAATGGATGAGGGAGATCTTGTTTGATTTCCAAAAAGTATTGAACAAGATGCAAATGTTATGTAGACAAATGTGAACTGATGCATATAGGAAAAGAATAATCCTAATCTTCATAATCTTCATTCTGAGTTGATTTTTCCATCTCGCTGTTAACAGTAGTCACTTCTATGCAACCAGCAGTTCTTTGCTCGCCAGCAGTTGAAAAGTAAATAGACTGCAGCTTTCCCCCCAAGAATCATTACAATAGGGAAAAAAATTAGTACAGATCATTGCTGTTGCACTGTTTAAATTTGTGCTGCATCTGTGCTTGGAAAACCATGCCTGTCTGATTTTCCTTATCTTAACAGGAATATTGAAAACAAAGGAAAGGTACCCAGAGGGGTTGCATAGGTAATCAAAGAGAGAGATGAGCTTTGGTACAAAGAATAACTAAATAGACTTCTCTGCCTATGATGCTCAACAGAAGAAGGGAAAGTAGAGATGATAGGAATCACATAGTTATGAGCACGATGAGAAGATGTATGGTAATCCACAAGTTACTGTCTCTTCCAATCTAGCACTAGAGATAGTCACTTGAAATCAGCAGATCCAAATGCCTCTATGTTTATCCCAGGGCTAAATACAGCTTTAATATGAGCCAGTACAGCTGTTCTTATGTTATGTTGTAATGTTATTTTCTTATTGTGATTGCAAAAAATGTCTAGCAGCAAAATATCAGTC